CCAATGTACCAAGTCCAGTTAAGACTTACGTGCCTCTCATTCCTTTTCCTCAGAGGCTCAAGGAGAACAAATAAGATACAAAATTTGAAAAATTTTCTTGATGTTCTCAAGAAGCTCTAGATCAATATTCAGTTGATTGATGCGATATTACAAATTTCAAGCTATACAAAATTTTTGAAAGAGATATTGACAAAGAAAAGAAAGCCTCTGGAGTTTGAAATTGTGACATTAACCTTCGAGCAAGAGTGCAAAACAAAGTGTCTCCCAAGTTGAAAGATCTAGAGAGTTTTACTTTGCCTATATCAATTGGAAATTTTTGTGCTATTAATGTTTCGTGTGACACATGTGCTAGTATAAATCTAATGTTATATTCTGTTTTACAGGAAATTGGGATTGGTTGAAATCAAATCAACATCAATAATGCTACAATTAGCTGATACAACAATTTCAAAGCCACGTGGCAAAGTTGAGGATGTGCTCAAAAAAGCAGGAAATTTAATATTTCTGATAGATTTCATTGTGCTGGACATACCAAACGATCGAGACATTCCAATTTTATTGGGACAGCCATTCTTAGCAACAGGTCGAACCCTGATTAACATGGAGAAGTGTGAGCTAATATTGAGAGTGGAGGACAAGCAAGAGATATTTAATATTTATACGCCATTTGAGAAACCGTCCAACAAAAATCATTACTTTAGAATTGATGAAGAAGAGCAACGAAGCCATTAGAATAGAAAATCAAATTTTGGTGGATTTTATGGTAGAGATGAAAATTGAAATATCAAAATATGGAGAGCAACGAAATATCAAAACCGCCCAACAAAAATCATTACTTTAGAATCGATGAAGAAGAGCAACAAAGCCATTAGAATAGAAAATCAAATTTTGGTGGACTTGTGTATAAATGAAAATTGCACAAAGTGCAATGATGGCATAACTTGGTTCGAGCCACCATGATCAAATATGACACAAAGTCAAGCTAATGACGTTAAAGAAGCGCTTCTTGGAAGGCAACTCAAGTTTTTTTTCCTTTTTATTTATTCTTAAAGCCTTGAACAAGCTGTCCCAGAATAATTGCGTCACAAAGGCAAGTTAATGACATTAAATAAGCGCTTTTTGGGAGGCAACTCTAACTTTCATCCTTTTTATTTATTCTATTTTTGAGTTTTAGGATAGTTTAGTTTATTTTAAGTTTATTTGTGACTCATCATTCATACCTCATTTCCCCTTAGGTCTTCGATATGTTAATTGGTTTTTTTAGATGTTAGAGCAAAATAACACTTGTTCCAGTTATTTGATCTTAATGTTTTATTTGATTTTGCAAAAACATGACGTCGTGAAACATTTAAACCAATATTGACCAAGGAGCCAAATGAGCAATAGGAAAGCTATCCATTAAATTACAAGACATATCAGGAGAGTCTTTTCTTCACTTTCTTCCCCACCCCTTTATATGCGAATTTAGAATTAAAGACATGGATGACAACGTCTACTTTAAGTTTGAGGGTGGAAAATATGAGTGTTCATTTTTTATGTGTTTTGTGTGATTTTATTGTTTTAGTAAAAAAAGTTTGAAAAATTGAAAAAAATGAAAAAATAAAAATAAAAATATAATATAATAATACTATTTTCTTTTTGTATGCTTGTGTGAATTAGTTGGTCAGGCTGACAATGATGAATATATTGAATTTGAATTGATTTATGAATGATGAATAAGTTGCAAGCTTAGATTTGTTTTTGCTTTTTCATGTGAAATTTGATATATATTGAACACATGAATTAAGTTAAGTATTGTGCAGGAATTTGTTGATTTCATAATTGGATAAGTTGAAATAGTGGACCATAGATGTTAAATACAAAACCACTAAATTTTACATTCTTTGACCAAATTTAGAATAATTGGGGGGGATTTCACTGTTGTAGGAAGATATTGAGATAAATAGGGATTCCATATGTGAAATTAAAAATCTTGTGTGAATTGTCTTAGGTCAATAGGATGCAATTGAGTGAAAATCTCAAGTTAGAGATCATTTTACTTAAATTGGTGTTAAATGAGGGACATTACACTAATCAATGCATAAAAAATATTTTATTTAAAAATTTCTCTTTGTAGCATTTATGACTCGAGCAACTAAGCTTGCAAGGGTCTTTAAAATCTGGTGTCATATGATTATCTGACTTGAGAGTTATCAATTAAAAGATTGTTACATGAGTCATTTAAAAAATTTAAGGAAGAGAATGCTTCAAATAAAGAAAAAAATAAAGAAGGTGCTGAAAAAAATCAGAAAAAGAAGGTGCATGAAAAGACTTATCAAATGCCTTGGTTAAGGCTCAAATACTTGTATAAGAAAATTTGACTTTTGATAAGAGATTATTAATCTAGTTAAGTCCTAGAAATTGAAGCAATCAAATTTAATAAAAAATCTATGTTTATTGTCATGTTAAACTGCAATTGGTGAAATTTTGCCTAAACTAGAGAGGTGAGAATAGTAGAAAATCCAACTTTAGTTCACAAATTCGAAAAGAGTGAAAAGAATAAGTTTGGGGTGTTTAAATCTTACAAGTGATAAAAGAACATATTTGACCATTGATGATCGGGAATTGAAACAACTTATGAATTCATAATGTTATGCTTAATTCTTCACACACAAAAGTCGATTTTATATTGGAAAAGTAGATTTTAATTTCTGTATTGTCATTTTGAAGCTGTGCATAAATTTGAAATTATGGTTTCAATTCTGAGATAATAATAGCTAGCTAATTTTTTTATTTTTTTGTTTTATTTGATTGACTGGCCACCAATTAGGTAATTAGCATTGCGTGTTTGTGTGTTTGTTGGGTTTTAGTTTTGTTTGAGGATAAACAAAGATTCAAGGTTGGGGGTGTGATAAGTATAGTTTCTATACTTATTCGAGATCCTAAATCATAATATTTTATTGTCTTTTGGATAAAATTCTACCTAATTTATATTATATTGTATTTTGTAGGTAAAACTTTATATTTAATGAAGAATTAGAGAAAAGAATGCAAAATGTGGCGAAAAATGTCAAAATCCAAATATGAAACCTTGGAGAGAAATAATACATTAAATGTGTTGGAGTTAAAGCATCAATGGACTTGTATTGGAAATTTTAATTGGAACTCAGTGTAGATGAAATATATATAAATATACATGCACACATTAGAAGGGGGCTATTGCTGAGAATATATATACAAAAGAAAGGCGTTCTGCTGGGAGGAGAGAAAAAAGAAGAGAGAGAAAAGACAGAGAAGAGAGAGAAAAATGGGAGGAGAAATTGGAGTTTTTTGTAAAGTAAAAAACGACGGCTACTTGAAGAATATATATACACCATATGCACAGAAAAGAAGAGAAGAGATGAGACTGTGGCTGATATATTTATGTGTATATATATATGACGCCAAAAGGAAAAAATATATATTTATTCAAAGAATCCCATAATGTATTCAAAAACAATTTCTTGTGTTTATTTTTATATTATGAGTAACTAATTTTCATATTAGGGCAAATAATGTAGTCGACTTGTGATCATCTACTTTTCTATTCAAGATTTCTATGATTTATTCATACATGTGTTGGTTTTAGACCATATAATAAAATCCGGTAAATTAGTGAGTCTCTTACGAATCGAGACGTGAGTTTGATTCATACACTAATTTGATGATTATGCGAGTCTTTTGCGAATCGAGAGGTGAGTTTGAGATTTAGACCATCTAATAAAATTCGGTAAATTAGTACAACGTGTACAGATACTTATACTAATTATTGCAGTCATAATATGAATTTTTAAAACTAGTGTGTCGTTTAACTAATGGTGATCTACATAGAGATATGGAATTGAATTAGTTAAATAGGCTCAAGAACTTGATAGGGATAAATTGAATACAATAGAAGAATTCGATCGAACACTACATTAGGTTATGAATCTTGAATTAAAAATTAAGGTAATCAATAGATGAAATTGTTATGCCCTGATATTTATCTATACAATAGAATAATTCGATCGAACACTACATTAGGTTATGAATCTTGTATTAAAAATTAAGGTAATCAATAGATGAAATTGTTATGCCCTGAAATTTATCCCATATTTGAATCTTCAATCAACCGTATTTTGCAAAATTTTGATATCTTCAAGTAGTTAAAGTAGTATAAAAAAATAATAATCACAACTATCATAATTCTTTACTTGCTTTTAACAAATAAGAGTTAGAAAATTTAGGTTAAGTCCTGAAGTATAGTTCTCATGATAACGATATCCGAATTCAAAGGTCCACTTTAATGTTTGTTACGATATCGTACATTTGCGATATATACAATAGAATAATTCGATCGAACACTACATTAGGTTATGAATCTTGTATTAAAAATTAAGGTAATCAATAGATGAAATTGTTATGCCCTGAAATTTATCCCATATTTGAATCTTCAATCAACCGTATTTTGCAAAATTTTGATATCTTCAAGTAGTTAAAGTAGTATAAAAAAATAATAATCACAACTATCATAATTCTTTACTTGCTTTTAACAAATAGGAGTTAGAAAATTTAGGTTAAGTCCTGAAGTATAGTTCTCATGATAACGATATCCGAATTCAAAGGTCCACTTTAATGTTTGTTACGATATCGTACATTTGCGATATTAAAAACACAATAGAAGACAATATTGATAGTTATTGTGTTTTTCCATTCGCGTTCGTGACATTCACTACGTTGAAAACCTTAAATTTTCCACATCAGAATTCATAACTTAGAGCATGCTTGAGCCTCATCAAAAGGTTAAGAATGCATTTTGGAATACTAGGTTGACAGAGAATGCGTGTTTAAAAAATAAGAAAAACTTTCAGGTTCGCGTATATTATTATTTTATTGAAAAATGTGACTGAAAAGAAGATAGAGAAAAATGTATTTTGAAAAAAATGGAAATTAAACAAGGCCTTAAATTCCCAAAATTTTAGTTGATCAAACTCAAACAAGGTCTAACCTTGCGTAGGACGTTTTCCATGAGTGTCTAACTTGGGACTTGTGAGGCCCGATGTTCTTTCAGTGGCAGTAACGGTGATAGAAGAATTGACAGTGTTGGTATTGGTCGTGGAACCAGAAGAATGAGAAGTGAATTCTCCAGAAGTTAATGATGCTGTTGGCCTCCGAGTCCTATATCTGGAACCTGGGAATCCAGGTCTTGTTGGTTCTTCAAGAGTGCTTGGCTTCTTCGACAGTATCAACACCACCTGCTTCATGTTGGGACGTAGTGCTGGATCAGCTTGGGTACATAGCAACCCAAGTTGTATGCACATTGCTATCTCATCGGGAATTGTTGAGGGTGTCAAAGTGTGATCTACAATTTCCAAGCTCCGACCTTGCTTGTAAAGCCTATATACCTGCACAAACAACAAAACTTCTCAGAAAAGATTTTCTTTTCTCGTTTAAGAACTGTTGGTGTGAACAATCTTTACAGAGGAATAGCATAAATAACATATTCATCTGGTCCTTCTATCTAAAAGTAACATGAAATGATAGGGCAATTAATATTATCCTTTGTGTACAGCTGAGCCAATGGATAGAGCGCGCACCAAATAATTTCAATAGGCAGAGACATTCTACGCATGAAACTAATCTCAGCATCTCAAAAACAATAGAATTGAGTCCAGCATCGACTAGGTAATTGTCTTGTAAAGAGCTGCCGATTTTTTTTTTTTTTATCAACACGGTGTGACTTTATGGCTATAATATTCTCTTTTAAGGGTCTGCGAAACATGCTCTTGTCAACCCCAACTTCAAGAATTATATATTCAGGTATATAGGAATACAAAAAAATGCACTAACTAATAGGTTCAATTGTCATAGGACCATTTGAAGCAAAATCTGTCTCAAATCTAAAGCAGAAATGTGAATTTAAGTATTCCATTTCTTTTAAGAAATTCTCTTTCCCCATTGTAACGCAATTCTAATTCAGCATTCAACCACGCAGGTCATTGACAGGAATTTATGACAGAAAATTTTATTTGCCATCTCAAACTTAGTAATAAACTATTTCAGATGAATTAACAGAGTAGGTAAGGATCCAGTCCACAGTCAACCATTACATTCTGGCTAAAAGATCAAGTTCTTACCCATTCAAGTAGGTTCCTTGAATTGGGATCGCGGTTAAAAGTTAAATTCTTCTGTCCACTTATCAGCTCCAAAACCACAACCCCAAAGCTGAACACGTCCACTTTCAGAGAAAGATCACCATGCATGAGATACTCTGGCGCCATGTAGCCACTGTTCCAAGTTGAAAAAAAATAATTAGAAATTTAGCAGCAAGAAGTGGGATTCTGTATCGAATAAACATAAAAGCAAATAAAAAATAAAAGCATAACCACATACTTGGTACCCGCTACACGAGTGTTAACATGTGATTGATCTTCAAGAAAGAGACGAGCCATGCCAAAATCAGCGATCTTGGGGACCCATTTATCGTCAAGTAGGATGTTGCTGGCCTTGATGTCGCGGTGTATGACACAAGTATGAGCGCCTTCGTGAAGGTAAAGCAAGCCCTTTGCTATGCCAGTTATTATGTCCATCCTTCGCTTCCAATCAAGCACTTGCTGACTCCCAGACTCTAAATTGATACCACCACACTGTGTCAGTATCATTCTATTACTTGTAATCTGATGTTTAAAATACAAGAATTTTAATGTTGTGAAAACTATCAAATATTTCTAAAGCTTATGGATTAAAAGATTGACACTATGTCCCACATCACTGAAAGCCTACAAATCCTCATCAACCTTTCAAATTTGTATTCAAGTCTGTAAATACTAATGAAGATGTCATTTTATGAACACGGGGATTACAAAATATCTCAAATATACTCCAATTTTTCTTGGATTACATTTAAGACGTCAAGGTTCATTCAATAAGGCCATTCAAGTCCCAATTGTCAGGGCAACATCTTTACCTAATCAAGAATCATCTAAACAGTATGAAGAATGGATGTCAGTCAATTTGAGATGAACTTACAGAAACCTCTTCGGTCAAGACATTAAAGAACGTCCTTTGGAGAAATTAAACGCAAAAAATTAAAAATAGAAGTTTTTTTAATTTCCCATTCTCTCATGCAAGATAATTGAATCCAAAGTCAACCAGGTCCCATCTTCCTCACCCTTGGTCATGTTAGATCACGTTTACAGCTTCACACACAATCATACATGCGCGCGCGCACACACACACAAAGAGAGATTGTACAAATTTAGCCCTGTTTGGTACCGATTAACCTAACTCAAAGTCAACAATTAATTTTAGGATTTTGTTACTTGCACATAAAGTATGTACACAATGTATTACATAATATGATGTGAAGAGAAAATATTAGATGAAAAAGATGATTGCATTTTAAACTGGCAAATGGTAGAGTGTCACGTGGCATCATGTAATCCATTATATAATCTTGATGTACATATAGCAAGATCCTTAATTTTTAACCACATATTTTATGAATCCCAAAACTTTTCAACCACACATTTTTATCAAAACCTACTAAAAATCTGATTTTAATCATAACCAAACAGGGTTTCACGGGTTACATTTCTTCTTAACACAGTAAGGGATACCGTGCAGCAGTAGTCTGCTCCGCTAGACTACCTTCCGCCTTTTCTCGGTCGTTTCGGGACGAAAGTAAATTTGATCACAATTTAAAGAAAGCTTACAACACGAAATTGAGATGCATTGAATTAAACTTGATCATTGATCGCTAGAAAGCTTGACATTACAATTGATTGAAAGCAGGAAATTACAATGGCTAGTGCAGGGGGCGAACACTAGAAAAG